TATTCATTCTAAGTTCATGCTGGATAGGCTCCCACTGAGAGTGGAATATAAGGGTTTGCCTACTATATACTTCGATCGCGGAGTTTATGGGCACCTTAAAGACTAATACAAGAAAAATGTTGAGACAAAGATTGAGTTAGCCAATAGTGGAAGCACAGGCCCCAGGGAACAGGATAATGTGGCAGTGCCGGCTGAAAACTATGGTCCCTGGATGCAAATCCAACGCAAGGGGAGGAAAGTTGGAAGTAAGGGTCCTATCCTACTAGGTAAATGACCAAATATCCCAAGAGAGAATAATAAGAATGGGTTTGCCTACTGTATACTTCGATCGCGGAGTTTATGGGCACCTTAAAGGCTAATACAAGAAAAATGTTGAGACAGAGATTGAGTTAGCCAATAGTGGAAGCACAGGCCCCAGGGAACAGGATAATGTGGCAGTGCCGGCTGAAAACTATGGTCCCTGGATGCAAATCCAACGCACGGGGAGGAAAGTTGGAAGTAAGGGTCCTATCCTACTAGGTAAAGGACCAAATATCCCAAGAGAGAATAATAAGAATGGGTCAAGAGTTAGTATGATTGTGGACATGGAGAAAGTCCTAGAAGGATCAAATTGGCTGATGGTTAAAATCTTTAAATAGCTAGGGGTCTCAAGTGAGAGATAACCCCCAAGGAGTAAAGGGAAAGCATCGGTGGTGGAAGACAATAATTAGAAGACGATGGATGCCCTTCCCGAAGTCATGGGTTCTCCATGCTGGCCAATTTAAGCCCACAATTGGACGTATGATGCCCACGACTAATGTGGCCAGAGAATCTAGCGGGATAAAGGTATGCATCAGCTCCCATGGCGCAGGAATGACTAATAATGAGAAGTTTGTAATAAGTTAGGGCACTACTACACTGGAACCTTCAAAGAATACCGTTGTAACAATTAAAGATAGGGTGGACCAAGACCACGAACTCAATCAGTCCTCTCCCCCTATAGCTCCATGCCACCAACGATCTCCTTAAGAGATGGCATCAGGCTGACAGTCAAGCCTCTTGATAGATTTGGTATGAGTAAATGCATAAAAATTAATAAGACTTTCAAAAAATAAGATAAGGATAAGAAAAAGGATGAGGTAACTATGTCCACTGATTCCATTACGATCAACCATCTTCTGTCCAAAATTCAAGAGCTTGTCAATAAGGATGTAAGCCTCGTTTTGAGCTGTCAATGCTCTTCAGAAGAAGCAAGCATAGTCCCTCTCTTCAGCATCAGCTCCTCTTTCCCTTACCTTTACTCTATGGATAGCTCATTTCTTATATGGAATTGTCAGGGCGCTGCAAAAGCTGATTTCTGGCGTATCGTAAAGTCATTTGTCAATATCCACAACCTTGCCTTGGTTGCGTTGTTGGAGCCTAGGACGGCAAGCATAAAAGCGGATAAAATGATTAAGAACGTAAGCTTCGACTACACCCATAGAGTTGAGGCAGTTGGTCTTTCAATGGGCGTTTGGATAATGTGGAGAGAGTCTATCCAGGTTACTGTAGACTACAATCATCATCAGTTTATCCATCTCAAGATAAGTAGGAATGATGGTTGAGAATATTTTTCCCTCTTTATTGTTTATGGGAGCCTAAAACCCCAGAAACGAAAAGATCTTTGGGAGGAGTTCACCACTATCAAGCATAACTTGGATCGCCCTTGGCTTTTTGTTGGGGATTTCAATGCCATCCTAGATCGGATGAACGAAGAGGGGGAACGACTAAACAGTCTAAAGGCTGTGCTCTTTTTAGACAGTTTATTGATGTTAATTCTTTGCAGCAGTTTGATTATGTAGGGCCAAACTTTACATGGCGATGTATAACCTTTTTTTAATGGTTTGATAGAGCTATCTGTAACCAGAGATGGTTCAACCACTTCTCGGAGGCCATTGTTCAGCACCTTCCAAAGTGCAATCTGATCATATGCCTATCTTGATCATCCGTTACACCCATCACTCTAACAAAAAGGACCCCAAGCCCTTTCACTTTTTAGCTGCGTGGCTATCCCACCCTGATTTTCCTAACTTGGTTAGGAGAAATTGGCAAAACCATTTATCTATCCAGGAGAACATTAGTAATTTCAACGAGACTGTGCAGGACTGGAATAGAAATGTATTTGAGCATATCACTAAGAAAAAAATATCCTCCGGACAAGACTGGATGGGATCTAACGGACATTGGAGAGACACCACTCTGTTCGACTCCAAGAGTTGAAAAATTCCTTAAAAAAAGAATTCAAGAGGGTGTTACTACAAGAAGAGATGCTTTAGAAACAAAAATCTTGATGCAATAGGATTTTTCTAGGGGATAAGAACACCAATACTTTCATGCCCAAACCATCTCTAGAAGGAAAAAAAACAAATTAGTATGTTTAAGGATGAAGATGGTAATTGGAGTACCGATAAAGGCCAGCTTCGGGTAATAACCTCCACCTTCTATGAGAACCTTTATACGGCTGAAGAGGGACCCATACCACAATATCCTGTTAGAGGGTTGTTCCCAAAGTTAACAGCGACTATGGTCGCTCAGTTGGACTCTGAGATTACAAATCATGAAATTTACTACACTTTATTTAGTATGCACCTATTGAAGGCCTCCGAAATGGATGGCCTTCATGCGGCGTTCTTCTAGAACCAATGGGAGACTGTAGGCGAGTCGGTATGTGCAATGATCAAGGGTATCTTCCATGGCGAACAACTACCTGCTGAGATCAGCATGACCCTTATTATCCTTATCCCTAAAGTTGCTAAACCAGACACTATTAAAGAATTTCGTCCGATCGACTTATTAACTACTTATTGCCAATAGGCTCAAACACCTAATGCAGTTTTTGGTTGACCCTACTCAAACTAGTTTTGTAACCGGTAGGAATATCACGGATAACATTGTTATTACCCAAGAAGTGGTCCACTCTATGTGACATCTGCGGGGGAAAGACAAGTGGATGGCCATTAAGGTGAACTGAGAAAAAGTTTATGATCGCATCCATTGGGAATATATGGAGGACACTCTGCTTTATGTTAGTCTCCCTCCTAACCTTATCAGAATCATCATGCAGTGTATCTCCTCTTGTTCCATCCAATTGTCTTAGAACGGCTGTCTCACCTAGGAGTTTCAGTCTACTAGAGACATTTGATAAGGAGACCCATTTTCACCCTAAATATTTGTGTTATACATGGAACGGCTATCCCATTGCATTAACACTTGAGTAAGAAATGATATGTGGCAGCTGATCCGCATTGGTAAAAAGGGTCCTGCCCTCTCACACCTTTTCTTTGTAGATGACCTGATACTCTTTGGGAAAGCCATTGAGGACTAGACTCAGGTTATAAAGGAAGTCTTTGAGGATTTCTGTGGTAGCTCGGGCAACAAGGTGAGTGCGACCAAAACACTTTCTTTTCTCGCAATGTTACCACAGGTGAAGCTTGCCGTTTTAGTAAGATATTTGGGTTTTAAGTCTCCAATAATCTTAGTAAGTATTTGGGAGTTCCCTTACTACATGAAAGAGTAAACAAAGATACTTATTATTACATTCTTGAGAAGATTGACCAAAACTTATCTGGCTGGAACGCTCACTTTCTTTCATTTGCAGGGTATTTAATTTTGGCCAAGTCCGTCCTCATGACTATCCCTGCTTATGCTATGCAGACCATGGCCTTGTCTAAATCCCTATGCTATCAGATTGAAGCAGTGGTCAGGAAGTTTATCTGGGGTCAGGGGAATGACAACCAGAAAATCAGGCTTGTCAGTTGGAGTGATATGTGCATGCCTGACAACACTGGGGGGAGCGTACTTCGGTCTATCGACAAACAAAACCAAGTTTTTCTGATAAAATTGTGTTTTTTTATGATTACAAAGCCCGACCTATTGTGGGTCCAGGTCCTTACCCACAAGTACAGATGACCTGTCTTATCACAGAGTTACAAGCCGACAAGACCAATCTCCCATTTTTGGCGCAACCTTAACCATCTTTGGACAGACCTTCATATGGGCATCAAATGGTCAATTGGACCGGGGAGAAATGTTAAGTTTTAGGAAGACTGTTGGTTAGAGGACTTGGGGCGTCTTAAGCTTTTGGCTTTCGCACCTATTGCTGAGCACAATATCTATAGATGTGTTAAGGATTACATGGTGTCGTCTAGCCAATGGAACTGGGTACCCCTGTACCGGGTGTTGCTGATGGACACACTGCTCCAGATGGCTACGGTACCGACCCCTAGAGATGACAATATCCCGGACTCTTACTTTTGGGGTATAACGAGCTCTGAGTGTTTCTCGGTTAGCTCGGTTTACGCTCTTCTGGAGAGTGATCATTGGCACCCGGAGGATAAAATTAGAGACATTTGGCATTGGGCAGGTGCTCAACGGGTGCATATGTTCCTTTGGTTGGCTGCTAAAGGAAGATCTTGACGAATTGAGAGAGATACCAACGTCACATGTGCTCGACTGCGGAGTGCAGTAGGTGTGGCGACTCATTGAGGATGTGGATCATGTCCTCAATAATTGCAGCGTGGCTAAACTGCTGTGGTTGAAGATCATACCTACTAAAGCCCATTCAACTTTCTTCTGTGGCATTGTTAATGAGTAATTCGTGCTAAACCTCAAAAACAACTGGCCCTGGTACAAGACAGTTCAAGATTGGAGAGTAATCTTTGGCCTTACTTGCTAGAGCTTGTAGAACTATAAGAATAAGTTTGTTTTTCAAGAAAATAAAAATAGCATCAATGAGTTTACTAAGGATGTGTCCCTCATAACAGATTATACTTTTATGATTAATAATATGATTATTTACTTTTTTTCAGGTATGGCGCACAGGTCAGAAGAACTTATAACTTGGCAAAAACCTCTCAGGGGTTAATGGAAGGTGAACACTAATGGTGCTTATCGTGCAGCCACCAACCTCACCTGCTGTGGCGGACTTATTAGGGATGAGGGTAGTGCCTGTAGCGCCCGGAAAGGGGCCGAAAAAAAAAAAAAAAAGCCACGTCGGCAGCCACGTCAGCAGGCCCGGTCAGCAGTCCCGGCCAACCGGGACCTGCCACGTGGCAAGACCACGTCGTTCTAAAAAGGGTCACGTTGGCGATCCGCGTAGGCACGATCGGACGGCCCAGATCAAGCATGCGATCGGACGGCCCAGATTTAAACGCACGGACGACCCAGATTTAATCAAAAACGGACGGCCCAGATTAAAACAAAATGGACGGCTGAGATCAAAAGGCAAAGGGTTATAAATAGAACCCCCACACCAGACCACAAACCCTAGCCGCCTGCCGCTCGCCGGAGAAGACGAACCAGAAGCCGGCCGTCGCCACCCGCCGCTGCACCGGAGGAATTTCCAACCGCCGATCGAGGTAAATTTCGTACCCCCGACTCGTTTTTCCACGCTGATTCCTCCTGTGGCCAAATCGGAGCCAAAATTCCGGCCAAACGGCCGGGATACACGGCCGAAGCCCAGCGGCGCCGCCGCGCCCCTTCTCGGTTTTTGCCTCCGATGAGGCCCTTCTCGGCCTCCATTTGATGCAATTTTTATATCACCGTGATCACCATTCTTTTCTCTACAGGTTGACAGGAGCCGAATCACCAAAACACGAACCTCGCCGGAGAGCTGCCGCACCCGAGAGCGTCGCCGCCGGTAAGCTCCGTTTTTCCGTGATTTTTTGGCCCCCCGAGGGCCCTAAGGTTGTTTTCTCGCAGGGACCGATGCGAGTGTGGCCGAATTCGGCCGGAAACGGCCGAAAACAGCCAACCTGAAGCGAATCGCCGCCGCCAGCGGCGGTGCCGTCGCCCGGAGCACGGCGGAGCCGCCGTGCCCGGAGTTGCGATTTGGGCCGAAAAGGGGTCCCTGGGCCTAATTTGGGATTTTTTGGAATACGTGCAGGTACCAGTAGTGCGTTTCAGTTCCCCGAGGAAAATTCAGGGAAAATTAGGGACAGCCTGCAAGCGCACTGTGAAGCCGTGTTCGGACCCCGAAACGAGTAAGGACCCCTCACCCTATTTCCTATCACGGTTTTAAAGTCCAATAAATGATAAAACGGTATTTCATGAATTAACGAATGTGTGAAATTGCTCAAGGTCGCTAATGGAGCCCGAGTCTAGTGTGTTTGTCGGTTAACTGTTATTTGGCCTGTTTTACAGTTTTAAATACAGCATGAGGTTCGATGTTTTCATTTTATAGTTTCGTGTGCATATTTTACTGTTTTATTGATTATGGATTGAATGACCGGGATATTGGTGCTATATGTTGTCTGTTTGGCATAAATTATCGTTTTACTTGTTTGTATGTGATTGATAATGCTGACTGAGGGAAAAGGAGAATGAAAGATTATGTGAATGAAAATTGTATAATGTGTTCAGCCCGACTAGATATCCTGGGAGATGGTGGACGGATCGAGTCCGTAGGGAACCCTACCGGGATTGTGGTCTCCCATACCGGACGGGGTATGGAGATCTTATGTGTTTTGGCGCCCATACCGGACGGGGTATGGGGACGGCCCGTTTCACCCTCATACCGGACGGGGTAATGAGGTCTATGGTTTGGCACCCATACCGGACGGGGTATGGGGACGACCCTGGAGTTTGATTTCAAGTGTTAAGGATTAACGGGTAGCGGGACCCCTATGGATCCCCATGGATACTAGTGGGCTGGCGAATTAGGAAGATATGTTGTGTAACGATTGAATTACGAAAAGTGTGATAGGTATTATGTTATACAGTTCATATATATGTTTTCCATGATGATGATGATGTTATTGCTTTCGTATATTATTTTATGAATTTCACCGAGGTAAGTAAATGGTAAAGGTTTTATTATCGATAAAAGGATTTGTTGTAAATTATGCTCCATTGGTCTTTTTGTGTTTTCTACCCACCTTTACCTCCGTGACGGTGAGATATCGTGATGTCTTTACTGGGCTAGTATAGCTCATTCCTTATTTAATCATTTCAGATCAAGAGGACATCGTTCCCGAGCCGGTTCCGCAGGAGGACGACGAAGGGGATGCCTAAAGACTCCATAGTCACATTCGTAGTTTTTACTTTCAAGTTTCTCCTTTAGGTAGTTTAATCTTTTATATTTTGTGAGCACGTTTTGGTTTCAGTGTAAGGGATGTTATTCAAATTTTGACTTCGCTTCCGCATTTGATATTTTTGAATATAAATTCCATTTTAAATTTCCGGGGCTGCTACAGTGCCTGCTTGAGAAGTTTCAGCAAGAAGATTGGCAGATGTTCTGTGCTTCAAACCAAACTTTGGGGTGCTCTCGACAGCTTTCAACTCGCTTGGCATGCTGGGTTCTGTAATATTATCCTGAAAATGGATAGTATTTTGGCAGTGCAGTTATTTATTAAGGAAGATTACGGCACTAATGCGCATGCCGCTCTCGTTCGTAAGATCAAGCACTTGCTATTGTTGGGGTGCTCTCGATGGCCTTCAACTCGCTTGGCATGCTGGGTTCTATAATATTATCCTGAAAATGGATAGTGTTTGGGCGGTGCAGTTATTTATTAAGAAAGATTACGGCACTAATGTGCATGTCGCTCTCGTTCATAAGATCAAGCACTTGCTATTATAGGACTAGCAGGTCAGGATCCAACATGTCTTTCGTGAAGGAAATAGATGCGTTGATTGGTTGGAAAATGTTGGTTTCTCTCTACCGATGGGGCTCTATTCTTATGTTTAGATGCCGAATGAATGATTTCCAACAAGTTCTCATTGACGATATCATGGGTGTCTCCTGACTCCGAATGTGCATGACGATCTCTTAATTTTCTTGTAGTTTTTGCCTCTCCTTGTACAAAAAAAAAAAAGTAAAGAAAAGATACCAACTTAATGCAATATACCAAAACCAACATTTTAAGCTAATACTCTAGTCTACTATTTTCCCTTTTGAACTCTTTTATAAACTTATGTTGGACGTCCACTCAAATCAAGCATCAAACATGTTGATGGACATTTGCTTACCAGTCTCATACAAATTATGTTCTTAAGGACACCAATGATGAGCACAAAGACCAAGACCAAGACATTTGTTAGGTAAAAGAAATATTTTTTGGTGGCACTGAAGCAAATTAGCATATTTAAAACTGCTACTAGTTTTATTTTTAGGTCTCATAAACCTGGAGAGGATGCTTTCATGAAGGTGGATTCTGTTAGTAGGTGCGAACCTTGTGGTTCCATATCTAATAACAGGTATCTCACACTTAGATTAAGAGTCTAAAAGTTGAGGAATGTCAATTGTATGTGTTATTTTGGATGCAGGGACCTTTGCTCATGTAGGTTTATTCATACTACATGCTTTGGATTATTTTTTGCCAGCTTGCTACTGAAGTTGCAATCCACAATTTTTAAGAGGCTTTTGTGATAAGATATTGCAGTTGCTCTTGTAAAGAACGTTGACAATTCAATAGTTGAATATATAGAATCATGTAATGGTTGTTTGTGCAACAAGGTACAATAGCAATAGCAGAAGTCAACTTATTAAATGCAGAAAGCTTTTATGCATTTGTTACTTTTTCTGGGTGATGCATTTGTAACTTGAATCTGCAAAATGTCCACTATTAAATATAAATGCCTCTTTAGCCAAAACTATCTTTCTCATTTCTAGCAGTATCCACTTACTGTATATTGTAATGTACAACTGAAAAGGATTCTGAAGAACTTCTACAGCAGATTCTTGACATGAAAATTTAAAAATGAGATAATAGAACTTAAAGAAGCTGACTTCTGAGGAATTTCCGAAAACTTCTGGGAAATGATCCAGGAATAAATAGATCACGGAGATGGAGGATTTAAATGATCTGAAAGAAGATAAGACAACTACTTATGCTTAAAAAAATATCCATTCATTTTCAATTCCTTCGGCTTTTTGGATAGAAATGAGGGCCATGACTTGCAGAAGGAGAAAACAGATTGAAACTTGTGCTGAACTTAGAATTTGGTCTAATACTTTCTCCTATAGAGAAACTACATTGAGACTGATGGGACTTCTAACCCTGTGGACACCATTGCTCCATGTCAAAGCTCCAAATACATATGTTCCATTACTCTGCTTGTACGGTACAAAATCAACCCTATAAGTCATCTTCTCCCCAGTCTTTGTAAAACCCAGTTTTGAAGGAGTAACTGTAATCCTGACACCTGCTGGATAATCGACATGTGCCACATAGACAATCGGTCCTTCACCATAATATGTAACTGTTCGATAAACAGATAAACTTCCATTCAAGCTAGACACACCAATTGAGGGATAGTTAAAATTGTAGGAGGGTTTTGGGGGGTATGAGCAATAAGTTGTCTCTCCTGTAAGGTTTTTCAGCTGTTTAGAGCTTGCACCAGTGCTGCATAGGAACTTGATAATGTCATTGGCATCAAAGTCATAAACAAGCCCAGGATTCAATGCAGCTGTTGGGTTTATATGTCCAGATCCATAGTCGAAAGGATTGGTCTCAGCTTCATCTGGGTCTCTTCTAATTATGTGGTTGGTGTTATCTAGGACAGTAGCTGTAAGAAAATGAGAACATATATATCAGCTGAAAATATGTCAAGTGGGTGCTCATGTCTTATCATTGAATATATTTTGGTAACTATATAAGTGGAATGGATAGGAAGTGATGCCTATTGATCAATTCGATATTACGGTTTCCTTTGTTAAAGTAACAGGAAATACTAGGAAATTTTCAAAATAGAAATAGCTAACCTGTTGTCATGATTGCAGACATTATGGCTGCTGGGCTCAATAAAGGTCGATAAGATCTTATAATCGCAGCAGTTGCAGAAATGTGGGGACAAGACATCGAGGTGCCGGATATTACATTGTAACTGACAGACTGTCCAGCTGTGGCTTCAGTTGCAACTGGAGACCATGCTGCCAAAATATTCAGTCCAGGTGCCGTAACATCTGGCTGCAATTGGAATTTGCATTGTCAGGTCTACCTCATTAAGTCATTATTTGCTTACATTGAAACACGAAGAGACATTCTATATCTAAATGCCCACCTTCCAGAGTTCATAATACATGTATAGATGATATAAGAATTTATAAATTTACCTTAATAATGTCTGGTGTAAGGATGTTGGGTCCCCTAGAAGAGAATACAGCTACTTTTGGTGCAGGTTTGGTGTTGGAAATTGTTATTGTCGGGGATATTCTAGCAACTGGATTTCTGCAATAATAAAAACATTTGTGTCAAATTAGTATTATTCAACTTCATACTATTGTCTTATTGATAGTTAAATTTCAATGTTACTCACTTGTTGGTTGTCATATATAATTGTAGCATTTGTGCTTCCTCTTGGCCTATTAGAGTTGCTGGAATTACAAACTGGAAACCTACATCTTTGGCAAATGGATCAATGAGAATAATTCCAACACCACCCCCTTGTCTTACAACTAAGGCTTTTGCTCTTCTGTTATCCGTGAGAGCCTCAAGTGCACACACCACAATCCGCCCCTTAATTATGGTGGCATCTAGAGTGTTGTTTTTGCAAAAGCTGACATAAAAAGGAGAAGGACCATGTTAAGCATGTTAAGCATAATGAAAGCGAAAATTCAATCAAAGTCCACCAAAACATAATCTGGGTTCCTTGGGTTTCGGTTGTCGAATATTTGGAAGGAATAGTAACTGAACTTTATAAACTATACATATGGATAACATGATTTTTGTTGCTTATCCTGATTTAGGCTGACAGGTAAGAGCCATGGAGGCAGGATACCCTTTTCTTTTTCCTTTCTGTTCTTGCAGCTGATGGCTGTGGTTGGTCAACTTGGTAAGGCTATAATTGAAGTTCAAGGCAAGTCTTTTGCGAATCTTTACGAGAAAATATGAAGCATACCTTGCATTCTTAGCTGGAATTCCTTGGGCAGCTGCTGCACCCCCAGTTATTAAAGCATATGACGACTCCATTTTAAAAGGGTTCAAGGAAAAACCCTGAAAAAGAAAGAAGTTCCTCTTAAATATTGATGTTATATAGCTTCTCCTGCCTCTCACTGAGTATAATTTGGTGGTGAAAGAGTTGTTTCCTAATGGTTACCTTCAAAATTTGTGAATTTCCTAAGTATATATTTGAGTTGAATTCCCTGTCCAGAGAACTTGCAGCAACGGTTAGGATCCAAGGAGCAACATTGCAAGCAGTATTTGGGAAGAAGGAGTTTCCGGCTGAAGCCGAAACAAGTATTCCTTTCTGGAACGCATGGAATGCTCCTATTGAGATCGCATCTTCAAAGTAAATAGGCTGGGGAGGGTCAGGACCAAGGGACAGAGAGATGATATCTACACCATCACTTATAGAATCATCCAAGGCAGAAAGAAGATCAGCATCACTACACAGGTTAAACCAACAAGCCTTGTAAATGGCTAGTCTAGCACCTGGTGCACCACCTCTTGCAGTCCCTCTGGCCATCCCAAACAAACTGGCATTTGCTACCATAGACCCAGCTATTGTTGAGGAAGTATGCGTTCCATGACCATCACTGTCTCGAGCAGACCGGAAGAAAATGCTGTTGAAAGATTCAAGTGGCCCCATTTCTGCCTCGAACCCTTTTGAATAAAACCGAGCACCAATAATTTTCCTGTAAGTACATATGCAAATGTCAATTATTTTGCATGGAGTTTGTAATGTTTAAATGCAATGCACACCTGTTGCAGTTTGATAACGTAAACCTCTCGCCTGGAACACATTCTCCCTTGAATTTTGTAGGAACAGGACCTAATCCTTGGTCATCGTAGCTGTCTGATTCAGGCCAGACTCCTGAAACACAGTTGAACTTGAATGACTAGTGGCAAAAAACACAATGGAGGAGATAGGATTTATATTAATGATTACCAGTATCGATGACACCAACTATAACATCAGATCCTAAGTCCATTTTGAGGTGATTATACTGGTGAATATAATCTACTCCCAGAAAGTCCCATGAATGTGTTGTATGGAGCTTATTCATCCTACTCTCAAAAACAGAAATAACTGGATTTCTCTCTGGAAAAAAATAATATGAGATCAATTATAGGATACGTATATAAATCTATATATATGGTGGGTATTTTGTGGAGAGCATGGAATGATAATACCTGAAAGTTGTTGAGCTTGGCTAGGGGTAAGCACTGCCGAGAATCCTCTAAAGCTTTTGCTGTAATGGTGAAGTGTTGCTTCTTGTGCTGCAAGCAAACTGAAAAAAATTTGAAAAAATTACATGGTTGAAGAAGAAGCATGAATAAAATAGTAAGTTGTGTGGAGTGGCATGCCTCCCAGTGACTGAAGCAAGTAAGTGATGATTAGCTTTGACGACAGATTCTGAAGTAGGGTGTGAGTGTTGCCCCATGTAAACAATGTAATGCTGCAGAGCAATTGAGAGTAATTATAACGGAAGTATAAAAATATTCGAAACCATAAAAGAAAATTTGCTTCAAGTTTTGTGTTTTTGTGATTTCTTCATTAACGTGTAAAAGTACAAAATCAATAGGTTGATTTAGTTGTGTATTAAATATACAAATCATAACTAAGTCCTAAATGGGTTAAGAACATTTAATTCAGACGAATTAACACTATTATTATAAACTTGATAACTCAAACGGAATAACATTACAAGTCAACAAAGTTGCAGGTACAAACAAACAATGTCTTATTTGTACCTTGGTACTTGCATCTGCCCAAACAAGTCCAATCATCCATAAAAGAGTAAGAAGCTTGGAAAAGCTCATCATGAGCAAAATGAAAGAAAGCTTGCTAGTGAGAAGAAAGAGGAGAGAGTTAGTGGGGGTGTTTGGAGGATGCATGTAGAAAGCACTTCTTATAAACCCAAAACAATGATATAATGGTCAGATAGAGATAAGAAGAAGAAGACTAATGCCGGCTCAGTGTAGCATTCATTTTTTGTATGCTTTCCTTTTAATCTGTTGCAATAATCATTTACAACAAAAGGTATAACTTAGATCAAATACATATACTACCAATAAGTCTTATTAACAGACATGTAGATATAATTATATATATATATATATATATGTTATTTTGACCAGTAAAGCCGGCTTTAGGAAAAAAAAAAAAAGAAAAAAGAAAGGTAAATACATTTGGCTTCTTGGGTTTTCTAAATAACGTTCATTATATTCTTTTAAAAATGTAGGATCTATATTAACTAAAACTGTAAGATCTTGCTTGTTTGGAGTTGATGTTCATATGTTTTAGAACTTTTGGGAAATACTTTTTTAATAAATCTACATTCTACTTATCATTTCAAGGCCATTAAATATTTCCCCACTTTATTTTGAATTCAATCTTATAAATGAATCTAATTACAATTTAAAAGTTTCATTAATATATTTAATAACTTTTTAGTCTTAATTATGAAGTATAATATTTATACAATTTGTTTTGAAAAACAAATATTTCCTTAGTCATCCACAATATTATCATAAATTTTTTAATACGTTTATTATATAAATAACAAGAAATTTTAATTAGTGTGCTATTTTTCACTTTGCAATAACAATTAGACTTTCAATCAATAGTTAGAATCTTAATATTTTGTTTGAATCATGTTAAATGATAGAATTTTAATATATGATATTTTACGGGCGTGAAAAAATCGTGTTCATTTCTATTTGACTGGTAAATTTTAGAGTGAATTTTTAAATCACCAAATTAATAGTATTTGGTGGACATTCTATTTGTTTCTCATTATATCCCCAGCTAATTTAATTAATTTCATATATGTTCAAATAATTAAAAACTCATTAAATTAATATAATAATATAAATAATTATTATTTATTTTATTAAATATAAAATTTTAATTTAATTATATATAATAATTATTTATTTAAATATAAATATAATTATATTAATAAATAATTTTTTTTTTTTTTACATTTTATATTATTTATTATTATATATAATATATAAAATTAAATTAATAATTTAACTAAAAATATAATCATACTATTTTATTATCCAAATATAAAAAAAAAATTATCATATTCAATTAATGTCATTATTATACATTAATTAACCATCACTGAAATTTATCCAAACAAAACCTAAATCATCAAGTGTCCTCCGAAATAGCAAACTAACCCATAAAAGTCCAAATGCCCTCACAAATTAAATGTTAAATTTCTACAAGCTTTATTTAGATGAAGATTTTAAATTTGTTGGCATAAAAATCTTTCAACTAGACCCATATCAACACCGGGTTGGTAAAAGCACCAGTGCTACAAATACATCATCTCCAAATCACTTCCCCTGAATCATGCAGACACAATTTCCAATTATCTTCAACGCAGTATTTTCATTATCTTCTTTACAGAATTTGAACATGCAATTCAACAAGTATCAAACTTCCATTTTCTGTCCAATACAGTAAAGGGAAACCAATCTTCCCCATTTCAATATGCTAACAACATAAAACATCGGATCCAGTAGTGATAAATAAAAGTACAAACTTTGGTGATCGGACTCACTAGTGTGGATCAATGAGATATGACTTCATTAAATCTGTCAACCTTCCTCTCCAAACTCCTTTGTAAATCTCTCATGAACCTCAAGGTCAGATTTACTCACAGTTGGCCTCTGTCTAGCAAGAACCTTATCAAAATCTGTTTTTGTGATGGGGGGTGGAATAATCTGCATTCAACAGTAATCCAGATGCAAGTAATTATCAGGTACTTTTAACATTCAAGAGCGTTGTAGTAATAACAATTTCTAATTTCTTTTATTTCCCTTACAATTTCTTCCAGAAATTTGCTTCACAAAATTCATTTGTTTGTTCTAAAACTTAATATTATTTATTTTTATAATGGTGAACTTAACACAAAGTATCTCCTAGTACATCCAAAGACGCATATTTTCATAAATGAGAAAACACATTTTTTTCACATTCAGCACCTATGTCCAACATCAGACTATAATAAATCAAAGTGATGTAAATAAGCAACAAAACTTAATTGGATTTAAATAATCCTTACATTTGCTGCTAGTCCTTGCGCTGCCAGCTCCTGCATTGTAATTTGGACAGCACCTGGTTGCTTAGGTCCACATGGCACCCACATCCCACTAGGAGACTTGACAAAGAACATGGCATCTTGGGTTTTACGAACAGGCTCAAAGAGGACATCCTTTACCTGTCAGATACAAAACAATGCAAGAATTGTTAAAAGCTGAGGAATTTCTGAAGTATTTACTAATTTCAAAAGAAAAGTGC